GGTCACTGTCCTGCCAGGTTTCAGTCAGAGCTGGCTTGGAGCTGTAGTCATTTTAGGCTTTCTTTGGATGCATGAGCATGCTTGATGCCATGGATAATTTGCCCTTCAGTCATGTGATGACATTGAGCATTAGTACCTTTCTTATTATCCCTTTCATTAGTGGATTTAGCAGTACTGTATGCTTTATTATCTGGAGCATTCTTTTGAACCAGTCACAAATTTTCCATGCCACATACCTAGGTGCTGCATGTGTGTAAATTTGCTTCTTTTTTTGGTGCTAACCAACTACTTGCCCTCAGGTATGGTTCTGGCCAACGCTCGCTGAAGGCATCTCTCCCTATAGGTGGTACATAGATGATGTCAGGATTGTCCCAGTCTGCCCTACAGAGGTCTCTAACAGTGTGCTACAGAATAAGTCACCAAGCTCGTGTCCTTGCATATTCTTGTATGTCCCCTGCCTTGTCCTATGGTGTGTAACACACACCTTGGCATCACAGGATAAAAGCTTTACTCCAGCAGGTTGTGGCACAGCCCCTCCTGTTATTTCAGACTTACCATACCAAAACAAGAGCAAATGTAGTAATTGCCTCCAGGCGCCACGTGGAGCCCAGAGGAAAAGCCAGGCCAATGGTAATGCCATGGGCAGTCTTCCCTTTGCTAAGGGCAGTCATGGATACAAGTCATTTCAGACCTTTTGTCCTGGCATTGTCCTCTCTGAATTGGATGCCTTTAGAAACATAAAACTACCCTGAGGTATCTCTAGTAGGCCATCTTAATTCTATAGATACTATCATGACGCTTTCTTGCTAATATAATTCAGTTGTCAATCACATTTTACTCCTGGCTGCTATACTTGAAGGTGGTTAGGAGGTACACAAATTTGGGACACATCAATTGCCTTGATATTTTGTGCAAATGTAAGATAGTGCATACCCTAACAAGCTTGCTTTTTGCTCTTCATCATTACTTAGATCAGGATCTCCATTAATTTACTTTTCTCTGAGAAAACCAAAATCAGGGACCAGTTCCTTGTCAGACCAAAAAGGAATCGCTGTAGGCTGTATTTATAATAGGTAGACTGAAATAGCACGCTGCACACACTCATCAGTGTGTTGTAGCAGGAGTGCTTCACCAAGCCTGTTGATGAATTGCAAAATGCTTACAAGCTGTGTATATTTTGTAGCTGCCAATGGCTGCTTTATGATCCTTTTGCATCAGTTATTAAATCTGCAAAAATGTTCATCACAGTTGTTCTGTAATAGTTTTTTCTCTAGCTTGTACCTGTTAAGCTGTGTGTTTGCATGCGATTTATGCACAACAGTCTGCATTTCTGCACGCAGAAAGCCTTGCACAATTGACACAGCAGGCAGAAGCATACGCACCATTTTGGAGTAAATTTAGCCCCTAAATGGTATTCAGTATAGAGACAGTTTATCTTCAGTCTGCACGATGAATATAGTGTAATTTACACAGTGCAGGCAAATAACTGTAACATATTATAAAATCTAGTTGTACCTATCAAGCTAATAAAAATCAGGAGCAGGACCAAGTATTCTCCAACAGATACCCGGACAAGAGCAGAAAACCTTCTCAGTATATCATAGCATAGATATTGAACCTAAATATTTTATGAACATGTACTGTTCCTATAAAGACAGTGTTCCAAAGGTATATGCAGAACTGCTAGATTAAAAGTAATACAAGATGAAAATGGAAGTTTAAAAATATAAAAATTGTCAAGAGCAAGAGAAACACTGGTAGTTGTTCGGATCCTGTATTTCATTGTGCAGTCAAGGCAGGACTGGAAGTTGTGCCCCAGAGTTCACATTACCAGGGCGCCTTTAGAAATAACAGCAGTTCCCAACTCAGCTGTATGCTAACCACCTCCCTTCCCTTGCAGAACTAGGTTTTGCTGAGAAGTTTACAGGAGTACACCAATAAGATAAACTGTTCTTATTACTTTTTGTGCTGTAAGTGGAGGAAAAAAATATGATACGCATAACTGACTAAAGTTAAAACTTCCAAAACCTGTGCAATGTATGTTTTAGTTCTTAGACATGGGCAACAGCAATTCCCTTTCTGCCATAAAACTCTTGATGTGTTTTACCATTCTGTCTTGGGATACTTTTATGTCATATTTCTGATTGTATCACAGAATATTAAGACTGAGGTTATAAAATGAAATATGCATGAGGACTCTCTTTTCCCAGGAAACATTGTGGATATTAGTAGCAGTTACAAGAGGAGGCAAAAGAATTTTTTTTAATCTTTAACCTGACAAAAAGTGTTGACAAGAAAAAAAAAGAAGTGGAATCCAGCATAGTAAGGCAGAGAGCAGTGACTTGAAAAATACTCAGAAAAAGACAATCTGGTATTTGCAGCAAAGCAAGACAAGATTGTGGACTTGTGTATGGCCATGCACGAGGATTCCTACTTCATGGTCTGTTCATTTAAAATCTGTGGAGCAGAGAAGTATGTTCAAGCAGCAACATGGATGTTATCCATCATAATATAAAATTACTCTTTCAAAAAAAACCCACTTGCTATTACCAATCTCTACTGTGGCTCAAAGCTAAAATATTCATTTCTGTAATTTAGTCCATTTTTTTTCCAGCAATTATTTCTATGAATATGTTTTTTATTATGCTTTCCCAACAGTCTAGCTCTAGTCGATAAGTTTCAGCACCCACCATGTTGTCCAGGTGGTCCACAGCAACATCTCTTTCTCAATTAGTGCTAATGTCATGACGATCTTTTAGCTGCCTTTAGCATCTCATCACTCCCATTTCCTCAGCTGTGAATACGCACAGGCAACACTATTCAGCTGCCCACCTTTCAGGCTCTACCATATTATATCCTTCCGATCATGCTGCCTGATCTGGCTGGCTCCAGAAAAGAAGGCAGGGGTAAACCACGTAATCTCACCCCCTTTGTAGGAGCAGATGGAAACAGAGGCACTTTCAGATGGGTCCCAGCAAGAGAGCGAGGCACAAAACAATAGGGGCGAAAACGCTTAGCTACTGAAAATGTGAGAATACCGCTTTGGTGTAGGGCTCTGCATGTGGCTAATACTTCCTAGGCTGCCTTTTGATTCATTTTTGATGCTCAGCTTAACTTTCAGCATTGGTATTCTGGACATGCCATCCAGTTTTAAAGATAAAGCTCAGGTCCAAAATGTAGTATTTGATTTTCTACATACAGAGTCACTGAAGTTCCAGCAAAATCCTTCCACAGCCGCCTGCACCATCTGACAGTGGAGCCTGCTGCCTGGTGTACCTTGTCTAGCCTACGCTACCTCACATTTAGAAGCACTAATGTGTTTTCAGCTGACCAGGGACTGGGAACTTGGATGAGTTACAGTGGCCCACAGCAAAACATTGGAGCTGTTCGCCTCAGAAGGGAGTAAAGGATCTGTGGAAGTAGCTGATTTCTTCCACTCAGAGGCATTTGTTTTTCTGCATCTAGGTGGCTGTAGATAAACAACACCTGGCCCAGACAGCTTAAAGGCTGTGGTGATATCTCCTCTAAGCCCAGTACACAAAGTCTTTCTTTTCCGCTTTGGCCATGTTTGCTGTCTCTCTGCAAATTCTGAAGAGGTTACTGTGCTAACTCAGGGGGAGGGGGAGCTGTTCTGTTGTATGATTTCTCCTTGCCCTCAACCATCTGCAGACCTGAAGAGCCAGCTATTCTCCACAGCATGTTTAAATACCCTGAGCAATGCGCAGACCATGCGGGGGGCTACCAAAGCCATAACTTTTATGTGAAGAAAGGTCAAGATCTGTCACCTTCAAACATCAATGTTGTCCATGTGAAACAGGAAAGTGAAAAACTTTTCGGAGAAGTTCAGTCTCCACAGAAGGTGCAGGTGGAAGAAACATTTACTGTTTCAGATACTCCCCTGAGCAGACTGAAAAGGAAGCACAGACTTTGCGGAGAGCAAATGAAGGAGCACTGAAATGAAGGGGCAAATTCAGGAGAATGTTTTTACATGCACTTACCTGGAACTTTGTCAAATCTATTACTTCCTGAGAGAAAGTAATGTTACCCATTGAATGACAGACTAAACTAAATGAAAAAGAACAGGACACTGAGTTTGAAGTCAGCACACTCTATTACATCACATAGAGACTTTGGTGGATGTATTTTAGTTAAAGGTCTTTGAGAACAATTATCATAATCTAGAAGCATAATTTCTGCCATGTGACAGCAGAATTTATTGTAGATCGGCTGTTGCACCTTGAGCCCATAACCGTGCCTGTGAAGGACTGGCAGCTCTCCTTGCTCAAGTGTAACATGAAACCTTCCAGGTGGAACTCAAATTGCATTTTAAAGAATATGTGATGGAGGCTTTTCCAAATGGATCATGTTTTTAAACAATTTCACAAGAATTACATTACTCAGTCACAAGTCTAGACTGTGAAGTCCATCATCTCCCAAACAAATTCCCCAAGATTTAATTCTGCTTAGGACGTACTGAGATCAGAAGTTATGTAAAGCTCCCTGTTTACTTTGAAGAATTTCTGTGGTGAAAAGTAAGATTTTGCTGAGTCAAAACACATTATTATATTTTTGAAACTAAGTATTTTAGTACTTAACATTTTCTGTGGATTTTTTCCCCTCTTTTTCTCTGTGAGAGTTGTAACTTCTTTTGTAGTCACCCAGCCTAACTAAGGTGGCTAGAGACACCTTACTGAGTATATGGTTAGCAGACACTATCACAGTCATCCTGTCTACATTCCAGCTGTGTAAAGGTTACTAATAAGACACCTATTTTTTAACAGTTTGCCCTAACGAAGATCTTCAGATTGCGGCTCTTTTAAAGAGAAGCTATTGCCAATTTGCAACTAAAGAAGAGAGATTCCTTCTTTGATTAGAATAGCCTTTTTGTATTATTAAATAGTAATGGTCAAGTCAGATCACTGTTGTTGGGGGAAAGCTGCAAGGAAAGGCTTTGCTCTAAGTTGTCATTCTAACTATCGCTGCTTTTTCTCTGCTTTCAGAGGCTGGCAACAAGAAGCTAAAGAGCACGATACAGAGAAGCACAGAGACAGGAATGGCAGCAGAGATGAGAAGTCGTATGGTTCGACAGCCAAGTCGGGAATCCACTGATGGCAGCATAAATAGTTACAGCTCCGAGGGCAAGTGAGTGACATTAAAAATATCAGTAATGTAGGAGAAGTTTCTTGTCTTTGTAATAAAACTTGGGTTGTGAACAGAGGTCACAGCTCTGGCTGAAGGGGATAGCTCTATGTGCAGATTCTTCCTCTTGAAATGTTTGCAAAACTGAACTATTTTAGGCACATAACACAAATTCCTTGAAAATTGAAACTGAGAGAGGACTTCTTAAGGATTCACATTTTTCCCTGTCATCCAGTGAGGCATTTTCTTCATCAAAAGACAACTAAATTGAGACCACGTTATTCAAAACAAAACATAGGGGTACTTTTTCTTTGAGTTATGTTTGGCTTAACTCTGAGTTAAACTTCAGATGTTGTAAGTAAATCCCAGCGATATGAAACTGTTCATTAATTTTATATACAAAGAAAGTTTAGTTTGGAGTTGGTCCAAGTCTCTTATTGAGAATTGTAAACCCAGAGTCCAGCTGCCCCCTCAGCTGAAATCAGGCAGACAACTGTGGGGAATGGGGCAGCTGTTTTCATTTGCTGCTGAATGACTCAATATGTAGGAAAGGAGAACAAAGGCAGATCTAACACAAAAGTGTGTATGAGTACTCCAGCCTCCTCACAGCTCTTAGTGGGACTCTACTGTGTGTGCCAAGTCACAGTGGTCACTAGGGAATTCTTAGAAGATGCCTCCCTAGAAAATGGGGAAACTGGGGGTAGGCAAATGCACCCTATAGACCTGGAAAAATGAGAGATTGGGACTTCCTTGTTTTCACCTTTTTATATGCCTACCGTGTTACCACAATTGCTACTGTACATTGCATGAGGCACAAAGAGCCAGGAGTAGCCATGGTGGTGGCAAGGAGCTGTGTAAAGGTGCAGTTTCTCCATCATCAAATGATCTCACCACCCTCATTTTTTTACCATGAAGGTGGTGAGACACTGGAGCAGGTTGCCCAGAGAAGCTGTGTCTGCCCCCTCCCTGGAAATGTTCAAGGCCAGGTTGGATGGGGCTTTGAGGCACCTGGTCTGATGGGAGGTGTCCCTGCCCATGGCAGGGGAGGGGGGCTATGTGATCTTTAAGGTTCCTTCAATCCAAACCGTTCTGTGATTCTATATTAATGCTAAGAATTGCAAGAGCCATGTAAAAAAAATAGACTCCATCATGAATAACTCCACACCAAAGTAGATAAACATCAGACGAAGAATGAGGGATAAGTAAAATATAGCAGTAATTTTCCCAGTATGATTCTATGATAGGGCATTACCTTTACCCTTTCAGCACTCCATCCTGCCATCCTCCTTCCTTCCTCTATGCTGGAGCATCAGTCTGTAAGCACCAGTCATTCACCATGTTGACAAAGGACCCAGTAAACTGGACCCTGCTAAGGAGGAGCTGAGGGACCCTGTTACCCTGGTTAGCAGTATGGGAGAGCTGGGAGCCCAGCACTGACGGTGAGGACTTTTCAGGGCAACAGCCTAATCCTCTGCTCCACCCTCGGAGTGCGTAAATAGAATCAGCAAGGCTGGGACAGCCAAGGTCTGGATCTGGAGGTCACAGCAGGCACCTGGGGGACAGAAACTGCAAGGCAGAGCCTTAAACTGTTGACTTGAGAATCAGCTTGTGAGTAAGGAAGTGAAGAGAACAAGCCTCTTCCTTTTAGCTCAAGGGAGGTAAACAGAGTGCTTCCTTCTTATTGGAACATAGTGCAGGCTGGCTGTGCATAGTGGGACTTAGTTTGAAAATTATCCTTTAGAACTTGGTACATCTTCAAGGTGAGGTGAGCTATCATACGCCAGTAGTCACACTTATCTGCATCTTACAACTTGTTTCTGCCTCCTTAGCTCCTGTGCCTGCTCCCCATCTCTTGCTGCTCCAGCACCAGTTCTGCCTTTGACAATTCTCCTTACCTCTCTCAGCGCTCTCATACAATAGATTTCTTCACATCTGACCATGTTTGTCCTGCTTTTTTGGTCCATTCTTTTGACACCAGCTCCTTAACTTTTCACTATGTTTCTGTTCCAGACTTATAGTTTGATAGAGTTATCAGCTCTTCTGGTTGATTCCTGATCCTCAGTATACCTCAACTTCATTTCCTGACTGCAAACCCACTTTATACTGACCTTAGCCTTAAACACTGTGCCTGTTCCTTAAACACATCCCTATTCCAGTCCCTGGCAAGAGGAAGGAAACAGTAAGGCCAGTGAAGAAACACCACCAATATCTAACAGTAACTCTGAAGGGAAGCCCAGGAGAATGGGCCAAAGGAGGCAGATAACAAAACTCAGGTGAAAGAGTTAAATGTATCTTACTGCAATGAAGGAAAAGAAACATTCCATAAACAGGACACAATGCCATAAGCAAAAGGGATACCAGAGGGCTTTGTTCAGTGTGGTGCTGTCCTTTGGGGCTTAGAAAACTTGTCTGAAGTCTTTTGGTTTTCTATGATTCTGTGATTTAGCTATAGATCAAATCCTCAGATGCTCTGCAAACTTGCATGAGTTTAATAAAATGATGTTAGTTTGCAGCAGCTCTGGGTTTAGATCATAGTGAATGAAGGATTTCAGTGCAGAGATTCTTGTAAGAAAGATGACCAATAAAACAATTTTCTACTTAATAACTTCCCCCGTGTGCATCACTGGATTATTTGTAGAACATTAGTTGGTTACAACTGCAGGGTGGAGAGGAAGCTGCATAACTCCATCACATAATCAGGGGTACAGGAACTGTGCCTCTCCCTCTCTCACTCCTTCTGGGCCTTTTTTGAGCATTAGAAATGTTACCTTTAACTACAGATGTTATGTCTAGTGTAAGCATGAATCAGTTTTTGATAGCACCTTGTATTCAGAATAGCAAAAATGTTTGCTATGTTTTTCCTGCCTTGTGGGATTCCCAACAAAATCAGCAAGAGCTTAACTTTGGTTGCTTGAGTAGTATTTTGTCTGTAGTTCACTCTTGGCATTACTGTAGGCGGGTAATGATGACAAGTAGGAAATGCTTATGTTAAGTTTGTACAGGCTACTTTTCCTTCCTTGTCTGTATGAACATTATGATACTGACTTTACCTCCAGGATCACATAGTTTGACAGTATCATACCTCATTCTGCATTTCATAAGACCAATCAGATGTGTAGCTCAGCTGAGCTGAGAATGCAGATTTCTACAGTAAGTACCCCAGGTACCACCTTATGTTCTTCTGCTTGACCCGTAACTGGAGTTTAATGAATTAGAATTAATACATATTAAGGTGAATGTGGACTTCACAGCCTTCATTATTTATGTGTACAGCTAGAGGTGTATGAAAAGTAAGAATGCTCTCTAGTGAATGTTTTCAATGTTGTTAGTCATTCCATAGCAAAATGTAACACATCTGGGGGAAAAGGGCCAAAGAAAAGAGCAAGAAACTTTTCATAGTAGGGGCAAGAGTGAAAGGGTAGTGCCAGTGGGGAGAGAAGCAGGTTGTGTGTCTTGTCAGGAAGGGAGGGCTTGAAGCTGCATCTCGAGGTTAGGTGAATGCTGTAACTGGTGAGCTGATGGTTGAACTGGAGACCTTTTGGTAAATCAGAGTTTTCTAATGAAAAGCACTGTGCTGATATTTTCTGGCCAGTTTTAGTTACAGGCAGTCTATATGTTTATGCAGGCATAGTATGAGCGGTTAGTCTTGAAGAGAAGGATGGGCTTTTTCTATCCAACTAAGTGGTGTTTGCAAAGAGTTTTCAGTATGAATTGAATGACTGGAGCACATAAGCCTGATCTGCGGAAATCAAAGCTTTTCACACTAGATGTTTTTATTAGGAAGTTTTGTTATTATTTTCTCCAGTCTAATAGGGAATTTCCTTTGAGGGAGAAGCAGATAGAGAGTGGTGGATGGCTTACTGGTTAAGATGCTACCTAGACTTGGTTCGAAGTCTATTCTTCTGTTCTTCATAATTGTGGTGAGGAAGTCAATACTTAGTCTCCCCACCATGGATCATTCCTTCTCTCTCTTTTTTCTTTTTTTTTTTTTTTTTTATGTGTTTGTTAATTTTGTTATTGTTTGGAGACTGTATATCTATTAAAAAGTAGTGGAGATTCTGGAATACAAGAAAGAAGCTTGGAAAAGCACATATCTTAGAATTATAGAATAATTTGGGTTGGAAAGGACTTTTAAAGGTCACCTAGTCCAACTCCCTTGCAGTAAGCAGGGACATCTTTAACTAGATCAGGTTGCTCAGAGCCCCGTCCAACCTGACCTTCAATGTTTCTATATATTCTCTGCTGGTTTATTATACTTCAGTTTGTGTCCTGAAGGAGGGGTAGATACCAACTGTAGATCCAGATGTGGCTACAAGAATGTTTTGGCTAGGGAGTGGCATTAGATTTAGCTCTAATCAACACTAGTACAGCCTGCCAGTGTACTGCTTCATTAAACAGCTGCAGCAATCAGATTAATTTAGTGTACACATCTGTTTCCCCTGTTTGTTCTAACTGATGAGGATGGGTTTGGATGTATGTATAGATATAAAACAGTATTACAAGTTAAGTCAAGCATTCAAGAATGAAGAATGATAGGCTGTTAAATTTCCTGAGGCTTTTTATGTTTTCTCGTACAAGGTCACTCATAGTTTATTCACCTATCAGGCTCTTCACTGCTCCTGGAGAACTCCTTAGCAAGAACTGGTTTATGAACTACTTTGGGTCTATGTGCAGAATCTCACTATGCTACTTTGGGGTCCATGGGAGACAGCTCATTCCTGATGCTGCAGAACCAGTTTGTGGTGGCACACCCTGAGCTCTTTGCCTTGCATCAGTAGTACTTTTGAGGTAAATACTTTAGGACAATAGAAATTTATCCTGTTCTTACGCTTAACCAGCTTTTCTTTTTGTCTTCAGCTTAATATTTCCTGGAGTACGGCTGGGTGCTGACAGTCAGTTCAGTGATTTCCTCGATGGACTTGGACCTGCACAGTTAGTAGGCCGGCAAACACTAGCAACCCCTGCAATGGGTAAGAATAATATGCTCTGCTCTGTTAAATGAGTAATAAGCCAATTAACTAACACACGCGCTGCCAGACTACAGCACCAAAAAGACTTTTACAGAGTGGCTACCTTCACTGTGAACATAAAGGTTCTATATGCAGTCACTGGAATTCCTAGCACGCTAGCATCCAAAATAGGGTGAGAAACATTATTTGCTTCATTTGAGGTGTCACCTAATCTCATTTGCAATTTGAAGATAGGGGTTGCTCTTTACTTCCCACTCAAAATTATTGTGGCTTCTCCAATTGTAGCTCACTGCAAAATCTCAGCTGTTCAGTTTATATTTACTTGCCACAGACTATATTGGATGCGACAGACAAGTTTCTGGCCAAACTCTGCACTTGTCCAAGCTTAGTTCATCTGACCCCAGAATGTGAAACTTCTGCCCTCATTTGCAATGCCCAATAATCAGCTGTTGATAAAGCCAGTATTAGTCATGAAAGAGACAAAATCCTTTTCTACAGCAGCTGCCTGGGGCTGTCTGTGATCTCTGTGTTCCAGACCAGTCTGTATTTCCCTATAGTAGCATTAGCTGTATTTTGGTTATGGACAGAGTATGAGTGTATAAGGTATGCAACAGTACAGTACTAAGTATCTTCGGAAAAGTTTGATTTTTTTTTTTTTTTGCTTCTATACGAGCAATTCTTAGACATGCTTTAGGATGCTAAGTGAGGAGTCCTTGATCCAGTACTTTAACCATACTTCTACTGCTGGAAATTATAAATGGCCAATGCTTCAGTACAGCTGTCTTGGGAAAATCAGCTTCAGGAAGGGCTACTGAGCCACTTCTGAAAAAGGAGAGAGAAACAGAAAGCAAACTTGCAGGAGAGAGTGTTCCCCTCCCAACTTATGAGCAGGAGGAGACAGAAGCTTTCTTGAGAATGCGTTGAGTACCCCCTAAGGCAAGGGTTGCTGTGTAAGTCCAAATCACTGCTACCAATGGATTAATAATTACCAAACTTGTTAGATTCATATTTTCTATTATTATTTTGAAAGAGAAGATATTTGTGAGATGTTTGCTCAATGAAAATCTAAGTGGCTTTATTGGTATGAATATAAGGGTTTAGATTTCTTCCATCTCTGTATTTTAATCTTGTTTTCTGACTAAATTTGTTCTGCAAATTACTTGAGTACTACGTTTATTTTCACTTCTTAGAACTGCTTTATTTACTAAAGGCTCAAGTTTTGACCCCCCAAAAAGCACTCAATCATGCTTTCTAACAATTTTCAGAAGACCTTCTATGTATACTTTCACTAGTGACAATTTGAAAATGTTTGTATTATCACTCCCCCTTCTGGTTCTCTGTTGCATGTTTTATTTTGGATATGCGATACAGACATGTGCTCTTAAAAGGGCTCATTGGAATTTTCCTGTGAACTATTTTTAGTGAAACACAGAGCTCTTTTTATTCAAGCAAAGTTTGATTGATTAAAAAAATCTTCCGTGCTGCTCTGTCATACCTCAGGTAACAAGGTATAAACACTGCTTTAACATATGTTAGACAAGCAAGTGAAAATCTCGTGCCTTGTTAATTTCAAAATGCTGCCTTTCTAAATCCAGACCCCAAATTCTGTAGTTCAAGACCACCTATTTGTCAGTGTGGTTTTTTAGACAATCTTATGTATACATACATATGTGTTTCATAGAGATATGTATAGTTCGTTTATTTGCATAGGCATCACTTAGCTGCCAGTGTCACACTGTGCTTTTTTATTCTGAGTGGCCTGTTAGATTTCTGCCCAGCTGATTTCATGATATGTGAAACCAGAGAGATACAATGCTTTGTGCATCAGCCCATAGTTGGCTTCTCTTGCATTTTATTGATCTAGATCAGAACAGTGCTTGGTCTCAGACTAAGCGGTTTCCTTTTTCTGCAGGGAAAGTCATTTGTCAGAACTCAGACAGGGAAACAAGTTTGACTATTTAGTAGCAAAAGCAGCTGCATATCTTAACATGTTGCATCGTTTTATCCACACCAAAAATGGATGTGGAGTATTGATAAAACCAGGAAAATTGTCACACCTGTACTTGTTGGAGACTTTTGCTGAAAAAAGACCTCTTTTGAGCTCCTGGCGGGCAGGGCATCATTCTCTGAAGCTCTGCTATGACTATGTGCTTTGACTGGTTGGTGTCTCTGCCTTAAGCTGAGGATCCAGTCAGTCAATTGTAGTTACAGAAGGTTTCAACCTCTACCAGCAGTTCTCCTTCCTGTCTCATCAGACAAGGAGCCTTCACACTGCCAGCTCTTGCATCTCAGCTTGGAGGCAGAAACTTCCAGCCGAGGGGATTTCTGAGTTTGGGTTTTAGGCTCTCTGAGTGTGGGACCACTGTCAGGGCAGCACCTGTCAGTCACTGGCACACTGGGGCAACAGTCTCTAGCTAATTCACCAGTGCAAAATTAAAGGTGAGATGATTATACCATAGTCTTGCTGTAAATTTGACTGCCTCCATGGATGAGAAATACTGAGCTCTGGTATAAACCATGCACCAAGAGAGGGCACCATGCTCCCCAAGTATGTATCTTTTACTCCTGGTTTAAGGATGGAGAAATTGAAGGAATCAGGAGGAGAGGTGACAAGCCCACTAATGCAGCAGACTAGTAGCAAGCTAGCCTTTCTGTTTCTCACTCTTAGACCGTATCTCCTGGGCCGTACTGCTTCTCTAAAATGCGGGCTTCTTTCTTCTCCTCATCAGGTGACATCCAGATTGGAATGGTGGATAAGAAGGGCCAGTTAGAAGTAGAAGTCATTAGAGCCCGTGGCCTCACACAAAAACCTGGCTCCAAATCTACCCCAGGTAAGGAAAAAAACAGACAATCTATGAACAGAAAACAAGAATATGAAATATCATGATGAACTGGGGATCTGAGACTTTCTGAGCTCCCTGTTAGCTGTCACTACATTTCTATTTGTTTGGTTTGCATTTCAACAAGGAATGTGCGCATGGATATACCCTTGTCCTCTTATTACCACCTTGCATCTGCCAGTTGCGTGCCAGCTTTCAAGGAATGATTTTCAGGAACTCAACATCCGTTCTGGAAGGAACATTTGCAGAAATATTTCTGCGTACCTTAGGCAAGTCATATATCTCAGAGGAGCTTTGTTGATGTAGATGAAGTCCTTTGTGTTTGTTCCACATCAAAACAAGAGATGGAGAACAGATGAAAGTACTTTGAACAAGCAGCTTAACAGACTCACATGCCAGGATCTTCTGTATGCAACAGTGCTTCAAGAAGACAGCAGGTTATGCTAGTGCCAGTGTTGATAATTTGTCTAATGAATGAGATTTAATATTGTATCATTTTTACAAGGACATTTTTGAAGTTCTAATTATTTATAGAAAACTTTATTAGAGGAGATTTATAATCACTACCGCAACCACCACTTACCGTGACAACTGGAACAGTATTTTTAGATAATATTTTGGCAAAATGGTACTTTAAAACCTCCTTAGGAGCTGAAGATGAAAGAGCAACTAATGTCTGTGTTATCGGAGTGACTTAGTTTTAAATATTCCTTTCAATGGAACAACAAAGTCTTTTATTTTGAAATATCTCTGACCCATAAACATACATAGAGACTCCAGAGTAGCTGTCAGTGACAGTTAATTCCTGGCAAAAGAAAATGTTCTTAAAATGACAGACACGAAACATAATTGTTGTTAGTAACATCTTAGATCGTTACATTCAAAGTTTATAAAAATCAAATTGATTTATTATAGGATGTGTCATTTATTTTATGAAGATAATTGTATTCAGATTATACAGTGAAGATAACGTGCCACTTTTTTTCCACTCAGCTTCCTTTTAAGGCATTTGTCCTCCAGCTCAGATGTGCAATGTAGAAGTTTTTAAGTCCAAACATAAAATTAATGATGTTCTGTTTGCAGCTCCGTATGTCAAAGTGTATTTATTGGAAAATGGAGCATGTATAGCTAAGAAGAAGACAAGAATTGCACGGAAGACCCTTGATCCTTTGTACCAACAGACACTGGTTTTTGATGAAAGTCCACAGGGTAAAGTCCTTCAGGTCAGTTGCTTCTTCATCCCATTTTAGGCTATCATTTGGAGAAGCACTTGCATGTTTACTTAAGTTTAAGCAATGTGTGTAAACCCATTCCAACTCACTAAGCATTTAATTTTATAAATACCAGCAAACACATCCTTGTGGCTTGTGGTTTCAGACCTGCAAAATGTCTGGCTGTACTAAACATTTCTCTTTTGTTGACTCTCACTCCTGTCCTACCATTAGGTTTTCCCACAAGATGGAGCAATCGCTCACCCTTAAGAATAACATTTTCCTTATGCTACACATAACAGCAGGAGTGAACATATAAGGATGGGTTTGGGGACAATGCTGAACCTGTATTTTGTGTTCTTCCAGGTAATAGTTTGGGGAGACTATGGCCGAATGGACCACAAATGCTTCATGGGAGTTGCCCAGATCCTTCTGGAGGAACTGGATCTGTCCAGTGTGGTAATAGGCTGGTATAAATTATTTCCACCTTCATCACTAGTGGATCCAACCTTGACTCCCCTGACACGCAGGGCTTCCCAGTCATCTCTGGAAAGTTCAACTGGGCCTCCCTGCATTAGATCATAGTAGCAGGTGCTGTCTAATAAAAACATCACCCAGGATAACAATTGGAACCAGATATTCACATGATCAAAAAACACTGTTGGAGAGAGACAATCACTTCTGTTTTTGCTTGTAGTAGTTATCCAAACATATGTCTGTTTGTCAAGAGATGGCTTAAATTGACAGAACAAAGGTATATCACATACGGCCAATCTATTAACGGCTATCACCGATGCTTATACCGATTTAAAAAAAACAAACAAAAAAAAAAAAGAAAAAAAAAAAGAGGGACCTTTAGATTCGACCTAAGTCAAAGATGACCCAAACTGGAAGCTCTCACTCTGTTAACAATGTTGTATTTTTCACATTTTGACAGAGCCCTCAAGCAGTGTTACCTTCCTGGTGTTTCAGAGTTTTTCTGTACTTGTCACTTCTACTAGTTTTTTGCCATGTGATTCTGCTAGTTTTGTAGAAGTCCTCACAATGCTAACAGAGACCCTTCCTTTCTTTTTCTAAACCAAACAAAAAAGGGCTGAAGCATATCTCTGTAAGCATCGTTAAAGCGTTCAACAGCCACAGTTACGATTCCAGCAAGTTCAAATCGTTTCTCAGTTCTGGTACTTCCAAGTCTCTCACGTGGGAACCCAGAACAAATGACCAATCTAAGTTATATTCTTAAAAATTAATAATCATCACAGTGCCACTTTTTATTTGTAAAAAGCAGATATGTTTGCATTATATATAATAACTTTTATGTTTATGATGTTTTGCATGGAAGAATTTTGAAGAATTCTGCAACTACTGCTGGGGACTGGTATAAAGCAGCTTTAGTCTTAATTTTGACATTGAATATGTTACTGGTAATGCAATTTTCCAAGAGGAAATATTTACGTTTTGGTGTATAAATGTATATTTGACTTCCCAAAATGTTGACCAGGAATGGATTGAGCATATGACACTTTCCGCTGTACCTGGGCTTCTCTGATGTGTGTCGCTTCAGACACACCTGTCTGCCCTGGATAGAGCATGGTATGAGTTGTTCAATGTTTCACTGGAAATTCCAGTTGAAATATTCTGCACTTACTAATGTTTTTATCAAATTTTAGTTTACATTTCTTTGAGATTGATGCAAGCACAAGGCTTGATTTTTTAACGCAAGATATCTTACTTTTTGGAGAAAAAAAAAAAAGTCAAATTTAAATTTGCTTTTTATTAATTTGAGTTCTTCTTGGCCTTGAAATCCCTTGTGATATTCTGTAAATGTGCGAACAACTGCAAATTCCTGCAGGTGCATTGATATGTTTCCCCTCCTTTTACAGGCCATTCAATTTTGTGATCACACAAATAGAGCAGCATGACTTGGAACCGTTCAAAGCTGCATGCACGTTTTGTAAAAAGAGATGAAAAAGGTTATTTAATAATGTATGTTAGTTCCACATAGGCCAGCTTGTATGTTGCATGTACTTGTACAGTTTGCTCGTAATTACTCTACTGAAGTAACCAAGAAATCTAAGCCATCCATTTTTCTTATAGACATTTTGCAGGTTTTAGCCAGGCTAGGTCTGTGAGTCTGGTGCTAAATGTCTATAGATGGACTTTATTTTTTACCCTATGGAAAACGTGATGTAGTACGGACCAAATTCCTTCTAATAACTATTTTGGTGTAGATTCCTACTGTGGGGCTGTAACACACGTAGAAACTGTGTACACACTAGGTTTTAATTCATAGACATACTGCCTGCACCAAGTGAACTATTTATTATTACTCAACACGTGGGAATTATTCTGCCCATCTTTCCATAGGGCGCAGATTGGTTACTGCTCGACCTGCTGAGCAGGAAGAACTCAAGCATTGGTGCACTACTACTAGATCCTGTTCTGTCTTAGTGGCCAAAAACCAACTAGTTATAATTCGATAGTATCTTTCTATTTTGACCACTTGTCTTAACACTCCCCTGTGCTTTTAAATGAACTTCCAACTCATGTTATGTAAACATGTTTAATAAAATTTCCTTTTCATGTCCAGTGTAGTAGTTGTGCTCTCTGTATGTTCTGAGGTTCATCTGTGATTCTGCTCGCTGCAGGACTGTGTGAAATGTGTTAAGGATCAGTAAAATGATAAGTAAATTCTATGGTTCTTTCGATCGCTGTAATAGTGTATGTTGAAATCTGGGGCCAAAAGCTGAGGCCTGATGAAAGTCATGTTTGGTTGGCTTCCTTTTCACCAAGAAAGGAGCCAAATTGTGCTCTCATTCATTGAAGCGGGCAAATTTTGAAGTCAAAACCCAAATGTAGCCAAACTACCATCTGGTGAAATCAAATCAGTTTACTGGAGTTGAGTGATGCTGCGACTGCTTGCACCAAGTCAGCGCGGCAGTCTGTGTTAGAGCCAGACACCAGCTTCATTTGGTGTGTGCTGAGCCTTGTAAGATGTGAGAAAAACTCCTGATCTTTTGCACTTTTTAAACCCAGAAATATGCCCTTGTATTGTAATGCCATCATGGACCATGCTTTATAGACATTTACCTGAGAGCAGAATTTGGCACTAAATTTTATTAGAGAAGCAAAGATTATGTACTTTGTTTGATTTTTAGTTTTCCGTGTCCCACAGATACCTGATCACAATTTAAAAATAACATAAAGACAATATTGCCTCACTTTGAACACTTTTGTTTATTACTTTATTTAACTGAATACATGGTTAAGCTACTGAAAACAAATGAATAATTAAACATGGTAAATCTCTGAACAAAAGGCATGTTATATTTCTGCTTCTGCGTGGTGGGAGTGATCTGTTTAAATACAGAGTTTGTCATACTGTTACAAAAAGCCCTCAGTTTCATACATCTCATGGCTATGAATATTGTGTCCAATACTAGGATATCTTTTCCTTTCTGGTCCTGAGAAATAAATAAAGTTCAGCATTTCTGATCTCCCCCCTAGAGCACAGAGAATATTGCAGCAAAAGAACACACTGAACTGTTTAATTTGTGGTGTTTCTGATTAACAGGGATCACATATGCAAAGATTTCAGGAATGAAGTAGTAGACTGTGCTAGAACAGATAAGTTGTGTGCTGGTCTCCTTTCCCAGGGACTGTTGCCTTTTAAAAACTCACTGCTGAGTGTTGGGATTATAATATACAGATAAATCAGCTTTGGTTCCCTCCTGGTTTTCCCTTGAGAATGCAGTACTGCCTTATATGGCATACACGGGGAAAGAGCAAAGATACTAAACTTGTAATCTCCGTCATATAATCAGACAGTTATTTTCCTCGTGATAAGTAAATTTTCTAAATCTTGTATTGAAATGCGAATTTAGTGTCCCTCTTTGTGGGCAGAGAAAAAGCCTTTGGCCTTGACCTTTGTGTTAGGGAGACATCAGAACTGCTATGAGCAGGTAGGACAAACCAGAGCTTCATGGTCTCTCTCCTTCATAATTCCCAGAGAAATGATACGTGCGCTTTCGTTGCCTGGTTTCACTTACAGGTGACAGTCCCAAAAGCTGAGTTCAGCCCAGGTATCATATGCTATACATACAAGAAAAGTTCAGAATGGATCTTCAGGGGCTGTTCTGAGTACTCCAAGATTTTACTTTGACTTGTCCTCTCTGAAGTCAGCTGTTTGCTGCCCCTGTGTAGTCACTACTCTACTGTCCACAGCCCATTTAACACTAGGAAAAAGGGTTACAGGCCTCATACTCTTCTTTTGCCTTAAGTGAAGAAAGTGATGGCAGACAGTGATGTAGCTCACTCTTTCAAGTCCCAAAGGCTCACCCCATGTTACTCTACTACAACTCTGCAGGCATAGAAGAAAGCAATCTGCAAGAAAGCAGATTATTATTGAAGGGTATGGTTTCTCAACCCAGATGATGACTATTCTGGCCATCTTGACTGATTAAGAACTCCACTAACATCTATCAAGAGTCACAAGAGCCTCAATTAATACTTCACTCCCAGCCCTGCCATTTTTTTCTGGGAGAAAAAGAAAATGCAGGGGTCATGTATGTATTTTTTCAGTGTCTGCATGGATGACCATGTAAGCTGGTAGTAAAATACGATGGTTATGAAAGAGGTTGTGTGTGGCAGGCATGTCACTTACATCAAATGTTCTTCCAAGTTTTGTGATCCAAATTCGTCCTCCCTGAGTTGCCAGAGATGGAAGGAGAAGCTGCCCTTACTCTTTCCAGAGTCCAGGTGCTGACAATGGTTCAGCTCCTGAATGCACAGCCTGGTGTTTTAACGAAATGCCCCTTGGTTAGGCACTTTTTAGAAGTTGGTATGATTTGTAGTCGTAGTTGTGCATCAGGACATAAAACCTTAGACATTCTGCCTTGTTGAGTCAAAGCTTCTAACACTCAACACTAGTAGTAACTGAGGGAAAGGGTAAAAAGTTGACAGAATCTGTAGCTTACAGCGTATCAATACAGCAATTCAGGTAAGACAAGTATTCTACAGCTGCATTTATGTCTCAGATAGTACAAGAAAGGCATGCTTGAGAGCTGAGTCTTTTGGAGGTTTCAGATGCTAGCTGCTAGAAGTGAGTCACCAAAGGATTTCACAGAATCTTACAGGTGGCCCCTGAAAAAATTACCTTCAAAAGGTGATGGGCAGCAGTTTGTTACCATCGTGATCTTTGGGCAACTCAAAATTATTCATTCTGATCGCCTTTAACATGTTCGCAATTTCAGAGCCCTGCTAAAATGCAGCTACAAATCAGTAGTGGCCTACTTGGTAAAGCACTTGGTCCATAGTGAAAGGCTGTGTGGTATCACCATCTGCGTGGATTTTCACTACGTCTGCAACCATTTGTTTAGATGAAGATTTAAAGTCTCTTTTCACGTTTCCTTCTCATTTATATCAGTGGGATGTACGCTTCTGGGTGACTCTGAGAACCTAGGTATCAGTCTCTGCACCTGAATTTTGTGATGAATAAAATGGGTGTAGGTGTAATTCCCCATTTAAGAGACATCACATAGATATGGAAAGAACAGAACATACATGTGGAAAAAGCAGTTGTGAGGTCCTCAGAGACTGAGATGCCATAAAGTGATCCCATCTTCTTGCCCTGTCTCTTTTTTACACTGGCAAGTATCAGGAAGCAGTATCTTCCATACCAAACCTTGTCACTACACTTCAGCTACAGGCACATAAAAATTCCTGAGCCATGCACCTGAGCAGGATGCAACTGTCATCTTCAGTTTATACTATCCCCTGTAGAAAGAGTCCTCCATACTGAAGATGGCTCATGTCTCAGTCTATTCCTCAGGAAGTACAACAGCAATAT